CCTACCAATCAATGGTAGTTATTTTTCTCAATCCCAGCTCGTAGCCGCCTATGATGTTGACGAGGAGGGTGAGGAAAAAGCAGGTGAAAACGAAGCCACCAATCCCGCTGGCGTCTGGGCTTCTTGTCCTGATTCCATATCAGCGGAGCTGCAACTCATCTGCCGAGAGGAGCTTCTTAGGTGTCTCGAAGAGATGGGTTCTTGGCAGGAGCTCGACGAGCTGGCTACTAGCACCGCCAGTTCTCTCTTGGGGGCGTCTTCCCCGAGTCCTGAGGGTGCCACTACCACCTCCTCCTCAGCCCTCGTCGCCAGCGCCAGCACGACAAGCAAGGACTCGCTCGGTACGTTAACTGTTCCCATTCCATACACTAGCAAGCATCCTCTTTTCGTATCTGTTTAAACAAATGAAGATAATACTAATATATATTGTTTGATATATACACTATGACCGTTACAAAAATAATTTTCACATGTGAATATGTCTATCCCTATTCTATAGTAATATGTCTATTTTAACTTGAATATGTTTGTGTACAGTTTTTAATCTGGTCTCCAACGTAATGCATATTACCTTTAGATATACTGAATTGAACTAAACACTTACCAACCTTTCTTGTTTCCCCTATGGTACACTTTAGCTCCTCTCCTGTCAAATGCCTACGCAGCGGACAGTGTAATGCCTTTGGTTTTAAGGGCCCGCCTTCATTTGGCAGTACAGGCCGAAATTGAAGCACGCTGTGGGACCGTTTCTGTCAGTCAGGAGCAACTGCAGCGTCTTGAGGACATTCTACAGCCGAGACTCAATGCCGTCGATATGGGTTCCTACTTTGAGGTAGCCTGTTTACCAACGAAAAAAAGTTTTCCTCATCCTCAATTCAAGACTTTTAGCCACTTTATAGAGAGAGAAAAAAAGCCTTCACTACTCTCCGTCCAATCACTGTTTTCTGCTTTTTTTTTCTTGTAGTCAAAGTACCCTTACGAATTGGCTATTCTTAGTGTTCTCGAAAACAATTGGCCAAAGGCAAGGTCATTTTGCGAGGCCGCTTTTAAACAACTGTCGCAGGTGGGTTTTCGTTCTTATTCCTTTACTTCATCTTTTATTTCACTTGAAAGTTAAATTAAACTAAACGAGCTCGTGGAGCAGTGGGTCATGGCGTTGGAATTCTAACCAAAAGGGCACGGGTCCAAGCCTAGGATGGCGTACTGCCTAGGGTTGGATATGGCTGGCTGGCTGGCTAGTAGCCCTTGTTGGATCCGGAGCCCCGCCGGGTGGGCCTCTATCCCGGCGGCGAGGAGGAGGAGGAGGAACAGCAGCAGCATGGTCAGGAGAGGCTGCTCTGTCATCAAAAACACAGAGAAGGAGAGATAGATCCACCGTAGGGAGGTTTGGTGTAGCAGACCTTGG